GGGGGGGGGGGGCGTGAGTGAGACGAGCTGTTGTTGGGGGTGTCGAAGTGAAGCCTGGTTTCTCAAGTTTTATCATGCCAGTGCATGATGCGGCAACACAGTCGCCTGGGCATGTGTGCGGCGTGGTTTTACCTTTCTGCACGCGGACTAGTATGGTACTGCACTTTCACGATCACGAATGAATCAAGTCTTGCCAAAGTATGGGACGCGCGTGCGTGTAATTTAGCATGGTTTTGACGCGCCAACGGGGTGAGAGCACACGTGTGCTGTCTGTAAAGTTGCCACGCAGAGAGAAGGGAAGATGCAACTTGGCGTGCCATGTGCGGGTGCAGAAGGTAAGGTAAGCAATCGGGACGTAGATCCAGGAGACCTGCTTTCAGTTATGCTCTGTTCATTGTGAGTTTCGTGTGTGTGTGTGTGCGCGCGCACTACTGCTACTCTCTCTCTCTCTGTGTCTACATACAGTGGTTTTGCACACAGCGGTGATGCAGCATGTAGGGTCCGACAGCCTACCCAGACAGCTTTGTTCGAGAGGTGGTGTTTGTTTGTGTCGTTATGTTTCGAGGGCGATCAACCTCTCTCATGGAAACTGCTGGTCTGTTGTCTAGTCGCGTGGTGATGGTTGTGGACTCGCTAGGGACAACAAGTTTTGGCGCTCGACGATCGTTTTGGGTTATAATACAGCTGCATGAAATTGTGATATTGTGTGGAAATTACCGCGCGCCTCTCAGCGGATTTTGTGGATGCAGGAAGGGGTGGTGTTCGTAGACTTGAGCTGTATATGCCCCAGAGCGAAAACTGTCATGGTTTGGGGGGTGGGTTCAGAAAGATTTTGTGCATCATCATTATTACCTGCGGTGAGAGGAGGACTTGTCATCATGCCAGCTTGATGGGGAGCAAGCATTCTCGTACATGGACACATCGGAGACAACAAAAGTCCCTACATAGTCTATGCTTCAAAGACGAGCACTTGTTTGGCACAAATTGTATTTCCGCTATGCACAACTTCGGTGACTTACGTCGTTTGTGGTCGGGATCCCGACTGATACCGCCAAGTTTCACTTCATTTCTCCACACTCCGCTCCCCACGCTCCACCTACAAGCACTTACGCAATAATTCTACCAGGCTACCAGGCATGGTAACACAACTTTTTCGCCACCAATGTGCAAGCATGTGCTGTCTACGCCATAAGTGCGCGAGTGTGTGCGATCATGCGCGCTGTTTTTCTCTCCTCTGCAACCGCTCGCCGTCTTCCTCGTGTCCTCGGAGAAATATAGTCTACAGCAGCTTAATTTCAGGGTCCACCGGCAGCAACCGCATCATCATCAGCCGATCGATGTGATCGTTTCATGAACACACATACATCTGCATCTGCGCGTATCTCCACACGCATGCGCACTACGTGAATACAGATTATTCTAGTCTAGTCTAGACTATACATACATAAGAGTAGAGGTGGGTGGGTATTACAGGCCATATTTTCTAAACAGGGGTATCTCTCCACCGAGTTCACGGAGCCCCTTGATATATTTTTTGACTTGCTCCGCGCAACCGGAGCTCTCGTTTGAGCACCACAGCGTCGCACGCCAAGCATTCTACCCCGAGATAAAGCTGAGGGAGCCACCACGGCTCCCGCTGCTAGCCACCTTCGTCGTTTCCTTGGGATTTTCGCTAAGCATGACCCGGTGCAAGGTGGACGAGGAGCAGGTTCGGAAGGCCTGTGCAGCGATAGATGATGGCACGTCGGTTAGGAAGGCTGCTGAGGTCTTTGGGGTAGGTCGTACGTCCATCGAAGACCGCCGCCGTGGCAAGGTGGCCATGAACGCGAAGGTTGGTCCCAAGACCATCCTGAGCAAAGAAGAGGAGGATTCGGTGGGAGATATTCTGCTGTTTGCTGCTCGCAACTTCTTGGCTGTGGATCGGGTTCATTCACCTCAGAGATGCGGTGCGACGACTCTGCAACGACGGTCGGCGGATCCCTTGGGATCCAGACAAGGGTCCGGGGAAAGATTGGCTTGCGGGCCTCCTTCGTAGGCACCCACGGGTGGCGGANGCGATTTTCACCCAATTTTGGCCACTAATTCATCAATAAGTCATCACCACGACATCCAAATGGGAAAATAAGAATATTTTCGTTATCCTCGTGACCTAACGGATGTTGGTACAAATTTTCAGAGGTTGGGAACCATTTCTTGCTGCTCATTGCAAAACTCGTGGAAACTATTCGTCTTTACCGCCGAACACCCCTCCTACAGCAGTAGTAGACGTGTGGCAGCAGTAGAAACTGCGCGGGTGACTGCTGTGCAAAGACCACGAAACATGTCACACGAAAAATATCAGGCAAAGTTCTGCCCCCTTGCGGCGTAATTTTGGTCTCCTGATGTACTGCGTAGGTTGAAAGCCCTCGCCGCACGAAAATAAATGTGGAAGAGCCACCGCGTGTCCCCCCCCCCCGTCCACCCCCGTTGCTTGGGGC